AAAATACAGGAGAAAAAAAAAAATAAATAAATAAATAAAATAAGATTAGAGACTTACAGGTGTGTTCCTCTAGGAGTTTCACTTAGAACTGGAAAGGCAGCGGTAAGGATTGCAGGTATAGGGGGGGGGGGTTAACATGTGTTAACTAAGTAAAGGATTGCAGGTATAGAGGGAGTTAACATGTGTTAACTAAGTAAAGATTGAAAAACCCAGGAATGTATAGTACCTAGGAATTTTTGAAGATATGGATGGATATAATGGAAAAATACTATATCTATAAATATTAAAATTATAAATATATAAATATACAAGTAAAATAGAGTTGAGAGATGTGAGAGGTATTTCATGATTCTAGATCAGAGTACAAAGTGAATACACCCAAAATTGGTAAAGAGTAAAATGTAAATATAGAAATAACTTTATTAACATACATACATTGCAGAGCTAACTTAAAAGTATAGAGAGGGAAAAGAAAAAAATAAATAAATAAATACAAAATATAGGGTGGTCATACATTGGTGTTGAGTGTAAATGTAAATTTAGAAAAATAGAAGAGAGATCATACAAAGAAGGAATATTTAGAATAATGACCAATTAAATGAATTAATTAATAAAAATTGAGAGTAGATGAAAATAATAAAATAGAATATTTATGTTATTTTTCCCTTATAAGACTTAAAATGTGTCTATATGTAAGAGAAATACAGTTTTTGTCTACTTTGTGATTAACGGGATTGTGTTCCATGTGAATGTGGATAGATTCGAAAATGAGTCTTTTTTCATGGTTAGGGACCGTGGAAAGGATAGAGGTTTTTTCAAAATCAAATGAGTGGTTGAGTGTTAAAGCATGTTCTGATAGTTTGGAGGCGGAGGGATTCCGGGAAGTTATGGACGTTTTATGTTGGGAAATGCGGGTTTTGAGATAGTTTTTGGTTTCACCAATATAGGAGCTATTGCAATTAGGAGTAGAGCAAGGTATCCGGTAAACTACATTGGATCGGTGTTGTAAGAGTATGGGATCCTTCAAGTTGGTGAAAAGGGAAGAAAGTTTGTTATGGGACTTAAGGCCAAGGCGTAAGTTGGTTATAGTCGATTTTAGGAATTTTTGTATATTGTCTGAGAGGATAGGGATATAGGGGAGAGATTTGTATATGAAAGGAGTGGTAGATGATTGTGGGGAGTTGGGAGAGTGAGAGGCTGTATTGTTTTTGGTTGTATAGTAATTTAAAAGTTTATGTATGGTGTTCAGAGGAAAATTGTTAGAGAGCAGTATATTTTTGACACGTTGAGTGTTGGCTTGATGGTATTGTGGATCGGATAAGGAGAGGGATCGGTGAATAAGGTTTTTGGCGGTATTGATTTTTTGGTGATATGGGTGTTGGGAGTAATAGTTGAGTAGTCTGCCTGAGTATGTGGGTTTAGTGTACCAGTCAGTAGAGACAGAACCGTCAATGTTTTTCATTATTAGGAGGTCTAAGAAGGGGAGCGAATTGTTATCTTCTTTCTCTATGGTGAAACGGAGACGGGGGTGATAGGAGTTGAATAAGGAAAGAATTTGGGGGATGCTGTCAGGGTTAATAACAAGGAGGAGGTCATCAACATATTTTTTTATGAAAATGATGTCTTGATGAAAAGAAGGGATAACAGAGTCAAGAAGGTCATTGAGAACAATATTGGAAATATCAGGTGCTAAGGAATTTCCCATGGCTAGGCCAGAAATCTGATGAAAGAATTTTCCTTGGAAGCTGAGGAAACCGGATCTGCAACAAAGCTCAAGGGATTCAAGATATGAGGAAAGGTTAAGGGTGGTGTGAGGTTCAATGATTGTCCAGTTTTTCTTTACAATGTCTAGGGCTTTGTCTATTGGGATGTTGGTAAAAAGGCTTTCGGCGTCTAGGGAAACCAGGATAAAGTTATCAGGAATATGGAGCGAAGATAACTCTTCTTTAAGATGGAATGAATTATGAATGTCGTAAGGATTATTGTGACTAAGTTTTTGGAGAGAGTGTAAAAGAAATTTGCTGAGTTTAGCTGAGGGGGCGTTAATATTGGAGATGATAGGGCGGAGGGGATTTTCAGGTTTGTGAATTTTTGGGAGTCCATATAAGCGGGGTGCTAGGGAGTTGTAGGATATAAGGTTGTAGTAAGTGGGACGGTTAATTTGTTTAGTCTCTAGTAAGTTTTTAATGTGGTGGTTAAATTTTAGCATTAGTGTGCGGGTTGGGTCACGGGGGGAGGGTGCGTAAGTTGTTTGGTCTAAAAGTAGTTGGTTTATTTTATGTGTGTATTCTGTTTTGTCCATAATAACGGTCGAATTTCCCTTGTCAGCCTTAGTAATAATAAGGTGGTCGTTTGATTTCAGGAAAGAACGGGTTAAGGATAAATCTTTAAAAAACTCAGGGGATAAAGTGGAAGAACGGGATGGAGAGTGTTGGAGATGGTTGGAAATCATATTACTGATCCGAATGCGGGATAATTCTTTCTCCTCTTCGTTAGCACAGAAACGGTTATCCTATTTATTTAGCCTTTTTATGACCGCAACCCCGGACCATCTCCTTCCTTTATAAAATATTTAGGATGTGCGTTCTCGGGAGAGCTAGTATTAAATGAGGAAATGGTGACCAAATTAAACAACAACTTAGACAAATTGGTTAGCTCTTGCCTTCTTAAGCCGGAACAGAAGATCACCGTTGTAAACCAGTACGTGTTCCCGGGATTTACTTACCCTCTCCAGACGGCGCTCCTCACAAAGATACGTCCTGCGACATTGGAAGGAATCGAAAAAAATATCCGTAGGATTATCAAGGCCATTATCGGGCTCCCTGCTAATGCATCAACGGCGATGTTCTATGCACCGAGGATGGTTCGTGGATTGGGACTGATTCGCTGTCTGTCAATGGGAGGCTCCTTTGCAGCATTGGTCCATTGCTTAGCGGCTGTCCTGTACTGGATGCCCTGTTCCAGTCCACATTTGATTATAATGTGGAAATCGCAGAATCCTGGCGTTTGAGAATTTAAAGAGAATAAGAAAAAAGAATTTATTTATTATATTTTTTTAACTTACGGAAATGTTTATTGTGCCATGTATATTGTTTAATATGGTTTTATTGTTGATAATTTGTAAGAGAATTGTTATGAAAGAGGAGAAAAAAAATAAAGGAAAGATATGTCATATATATTGAAATAGAAAATATAATATAAAATTAATGTCCGTATGGATTGATAAGTATGCTGTGTACGAAGCAACCCTATGTAATAGGGCAGCATTACTTTTTTATATTTTTTTTATTTATTTATATGATATTTACAACTGTATACAAAAAATACATCTGGTAAATTCGCACACGGATATAATGACATGAAACACATGTTGAGAAACTACCCATTGGTTGCACTCTAATAATATGTCTATATTAGGAGATCACGTGGCCATCTTCTTTTCAGACGCCTCGTAGGATTATCAGGAATTGAATAGGAAGGAAGTTTAGAAACAAGAGGGTTGGGATGGTTATGAAGTTTATTATGGAAGGACAAATATCTGGATTGGGCCAAATCTGACACCTGAAGACCTGCAAAGTCGGGTCGAAACGTTGGCTTTCAATAAAATAGTTTTACCACTATTTAGCCTTTTTATGACCGCAACCCCGGACCATCTCCTTCCTTTATAATGCAACGGTCAACCATTAAATATTCAATCTAAATATTTTATAGTTTCACCAGGCTTTGTTGATGCTATAACTTCTCTGTTCTCTAGGGAGAGCTTTGTTTGTTGCAGCTCTCCTTTTTCGACTATTAAGCCCACGCTTTTCTGTGGATTTATTGCTAGACTAATCTCGGCAAGGATCCTCTGCACATCATTGATAATCCTCTCTGCAGCACCCTTGTCACGCGCTGTAACAGCCTGCTCATCCACGAAGCCTGTGAGGACCACACATTCTAGGTCGCTGCATAATTTATATCCATGTCGGTTGGAAAATTCTTGCTCACACAGGTCGCGGTATCGATGATCTATAGCCAGTGGGCTCCGATTCCAATCTTGATTTGGTTTGACCCCAAGAGAGCCGCAATTACGTTTTTCAGGTCCGGTGACACTCCTCTTGCCTCTAGTGAGCCGATTATATGTTCATGACCAACGTTGTCAAAAGCGTCTAGAAACACCACCGCGCAATCATTCTTTTTATTTTTAGCATCTTTTATAATTGCGTCGATGATTCTTGCGCTTACGTGTGCTCCCGGATGCCTCTGATGAAGCCCCTCTGATTTTTGCTGAAGGTGATCTGTTTTCTCAGTTCATGGTCCAGAACCTTCTCAATAATTCGGCGCACAAAAAAATAAAAAAATAAAATTAAAAAAATTAAAAAATAAATAAATAAAATAAAAATTTATAAAAAATATATTTCAAACAGCAATATCAACTGCTCTGATGTACACGTGAAATGTATTCAATGAGAAATCAGAGAGATTCCGCTGAAAAACAGGCAAATACTGAGAGACCAGTTGAGAGCACAACCTTCCAATCAGCTGATCCACTGCCTTCCAGCTCACGTATTACAATGAAAACATTGAGTATATGTGGAGGTGAACAATTGTTTCGTTTATTAATATCGACTGAGGTGGATGGTTATAATTATGCGAGTGATAACTAAAGTGCAGTGGGTTAGAGAGAACAGCTACGTGGCGTGCAGTCTCTTTCCTGCTTGCTTCTAGTCTCTGGCTATCAGCGCATAGAACTCAATCTTATCAGATTATTTGTAGCTCAGTGGTCTAGGCGCTGTGAAACTCACTACCGACGTCTGGTCACTACCCTCAGAAGCCTCTTGAAACTGCAGCAATATGTGCTTTATGCAGTGATGAACATCCTGCAAATTATATAGATACCATAGTTTATAAAAACATGCAACGTCAAAAAAAAATTATATGCAGCCTTTAAAATACAAAAAGAGGCAGTTCAAGATCAAACTCCGGGTCCATCAACGAGGAACGACGTGACAAAGCGAGTCATGACAGCGAATACGATTCATCAACATCAGGACACTAAAAGCAAGACGACAACATATTCATCAGTCGCCATAAATCAACTACCTCAACATCAAGCGCCTCAAGCCTCCTTTCCTCAGTTCTTCCATCCTCAAATTAAGACCTCTTATCCTCAGGCCCAAATTCCCCATCCTAAGCCTCAGACCTCCCATCCTCAATTTAAAACACTAAAAAAATAACCCATCCTCCAAAAAAGCAATCTTAAGGGTCAAGTTACCCCCACAGACTTCACTACAGATCAATCCCAAACATCCTGAATCATCCCAATGCTCCTTGCAGATCAATCATTCATCCGAAACCCCATTAGATGTGGAACATACTCAAAGATCATAAAAGAGGGTCCTACCCCCACTTAGGCAGGTTCCTCCACCACAACACACTTTCTACTCCTATCCCAACCATAATCCAACCGGCATAGTATTTTTTTTTTAATCTATTTATTGAATAATAATACAATCAGCCACTGGAGGGCTATAAGTATTAGGGCTAAGAGTTCTCATTCAAACAATATATACAAATAATAGAGAAATAAATATAAATATAAAAAGTAAATAAATAATACTGATGAAGAAAGAAAATAAAAGAAAAAAAAATAAATAAACAATAACATAAAAAGAAACTTATAAACACAATCATACCTATATACAATATATACATTCGCCCAAGAATCTCCGAGCCAGGCTTTTTCCCCCACATGTGGAAGGCAAAGCAAGACTCCAGGAGATCCCAGTGCCACTTTTCCAGCCGCATCACTAGTATTAGAAGCCAATGGAGACTGAAAGAGGGCACTAGAGCCACAGACGCTCGGGACATGAGTGGAGAAGCTGGCCATTGCCAGGACTCCAGAAGCATATTTACAAGAGATCTCTGGGCCACTGCCGTTTTAACCTTCGTGGAGGATTGTAGGGATGAAGGGAGCTGGATAGGGATTGAGCTAGAGGATTTGGATGATGGATAAGGTTTTGGTGAAAGTTTGAGAATCTGGTTGGGATGATGTCGAGGACAAATGGGATGTTAAGGTCATGGTGTAGGGTCTTGTTTGTGACATAATATGGGGCATTGACTATTGTTCTAAGTACTTTGGACTGGAAGGATTGGATGCGTTTGATATTCGAATGTTTAGCAGTTCCCCACAGTTCAAGTCCGTAGGTCCAGATAGGTTTCAGTATGGTCTTGTAGATTAAAAGTTTATTTTCAATCGAAAGATGGGATGTCCTACTTAGTAATCTATACAGCTGGCCATATCGTCGGTTAAGTTCTTGTCTTTTAAGTCTGGTATGTGGGTTCCAAGTTAGTCTTTTGTCAAGAAGGAAGCCATGGTAACGGACTGTGTCTGAGTAGGGAAGTGGAATTGCATTAAAAAGGATTGACGGACAGGATCTGCGTCGCAGGGTAAAAGTGATATGTTTGCATTTTGATTCATTGATTTTGATGCGCCAGTTGTTGCACCACTGCTCAATCAAAGAGAGGTGAGATTGTAGGTTTAGAGATGCTATTTGAGGATCTGAGTGGGAAGATAGAATGGCAGTATCATCAGCAAATGTAGCTAGAAATGTATCGGGATTTGAAGGGATATCGGAAGTGAAGAGGATATATAGAACTGGGCCCAAGACACTGCCTTGTGGAACACCAGCCTCACCTGGATAGTAAGTGGAGAATGCGATGTCACAACGGACTTGAAAGGAACGATTTGAGAGGTAGGATTTGAGGACTAGGTACAAGGGTTGAGGTAAATGGGTTTTGAGCTTGAAAAGCAAGCCATCGTGCCACACCCGGTCGAAAGCTTGTGCTACGTCCAGAAAGGCACCAGTGCAATAATGCTTGTTTTCAAGTGCAGAGGATATATGGTCCACAACACGAAGGCCTTGTTGGACAGTGGAATGTCTTGAGCGGAATCCAAACTGATGAGAAGGGATGTTGTGGGATTCGATTATGGGTAGGATGCGTTTGAGAAGGATTTTCTCAAAGATTTTTGAGAGGATCGGGAGTAAGCTTATCGGTCTATAGGATGATGTGTTATTAACAGGTTTACCTGGTTTTGGAAACAGGATGATTATGGAATGTTTCCACACCAAAGGAAAGTTGGTTGTGCGAAGGATGCAGTTGTATAGATAGGTAAGGAATATGATTGCTTCTTTGGGAAGTTGTCTGAGGATTTGTGAAATGAGGAGATCATATCCAGGGGATTTTCGGGGTTTTAATTTGTTTATAAGGAATTTGACCTCAGCGGGGTTAACAGGTTTTGGAGGTAGAGAGAGAGGAATTGGTGAAGAGAGGAATTCTTCAACTTCAGCAGTGTGGCTGGGATGGAGTTCGGGATGCGGGGTGAATGTGTAGGATAAATGTTTAGCAAACTCCTCTGCTCTATTCGCATCTGACGAAGCCCAGGAACCATCATCACGGCGAAGTGGATGGGAAATGGACTGGAATTTAAGGATTTTTTTGGTTACATTCCAGAGGGAGTTATCACTAGCGGATAATGAGGAGAGGTAGGAATTGTAGGATTGGGTTTTAAAAGTTTCCAGTTTCTTTTTTACCTGTTTGGAATAATAATTATACGATTTCCGGTCATCAGGATGCCTGGTTCTTTGCCAAAGGGTCCTAGAGCAACGTTTGCTATGGATTAAGTCCAATAGATCTTGAGGTAAAGGATTTATGTTATGGTATTTTTTGGGACGATCAGGTGAGGATGCAGTCCAAGCTGCTTGCTGGATCAGGGTAGTGAAGGAATGCATTGCATCGTCGAGGTCTTCAGGTGTTTTTAAGGAAACTCTGAGGTCAATATTATCTTCCAGTATTTCACGGAAAAGGTTCCAGTTAACTGGCCCCCTGATAAATGAAGGTGGGGATGATTTGGGAATGGGAGATGTGGAAACGGTTAGGACTAGAGGACTATGGTCTTAGGAAAGATCATCAAACCTTGAAATAGAACAGTGTAGTGATCCTAGACCTTTGTGGAGGAAAAAGTCTAGAAGGTCGGGATTGCGGTTGGGATCTGTTGGCCAGTATGTGGGTGTATTAGGTGAAAGGATGTTGCTGCGATGGGAATTAAGTGCAGATAGCAATGTTCGCCCTCGGGAATTTGTGGATCTGGCTCCCCATTGCTGGTGTTTTGCATTTAGATCTGCACCTAGGAGGAAGTGGTGTCCTAAGGAATTCAGGAAGGAAATTATTTGGGATTCGGAAATGGGTGTTTTAGGTGGGGAATATGCCGCAACTAGTGTTATTGGGTTAAGGGGTGTTTGGATTATTACGGCTGTGGATTGTAGGAAATTATGGCTTGGTAAGGGAAACAAATGATGGGAAACGGATCGATGGATAATTATGGCAGTGCCACCATGTGCTGTTCCATCAGGATGGTCGGTTCGATAAATATTGTAGCCGGGCACGTTGATTTGTCGTTTGTTGGTGGCATAGTATTAGTTCTTATATCCTTCCTCCATGATTTTCAAGATACCATCAAATCTCTCAACACACTCTTTACCCTACTCATTTCAGAAATCCCGTTCAAAACCTCACGATGAGAAGTAAGAACCCAGTTATCCTGTTGTGGAATGCAAATGGTTTACAGAATCATCGAGACGAACTTGACATTTTTCTTCACAAAAATCTGATAGACGTAGCCTTAGTGACTGAAATCCATTTTATATCACATACACACTTCCACATACTTGACTACATCACATACAGATCAGATAACCTATAAAATAAGCAACCTATAAGATTATAAAACCTATAGAATATAAGAAATGATGTTAACTTGACAAGAGTCAGCTGTGGTAAGTGGTAAATCTCTAAACAGATTTTGACCTCTACCTCTAAACATTTAACGAGTTATTCTCCTTCCAATTTTATAAATACAAACATTATTTTGTTGACCATACCGACACCGCAATAGGCAGAAATGATTGTACTTATGTATATTATAATAAATCTCATTAAACTCAATAGGCTTCTCCAATGTTATTTTATTATTTGAGGAGTATTAAATGTTGTTCCAAGTAATATATAGTTGTATTCGGACAGAGATTATACAATTTATTTATATCCCCCCACTACTGTTACTTTTGCATTTGGTAGAGAATTTTTTTATAAGTTTTTCAAAAATATAATGATAATTATAATGCTAACACTTATGGTATGAACATATTCTGTATTAAATTTATGACAAATGAATAAATTTTGAAAGCTCTTGGTATATTATATAAATATTGTTTTTTCTTATAAAAACCAAACAGGTACATGCTAGTTTTGAGCCAAAAATGTCTTCCAAACTTCGAATATTTCAAAAGTTTAAAAGCCTTCAATTCTGAAACTAATGGTTAGAATTGGCTAAGATTTGGTATTTTTTCTTACATTTATATTTACTTAATATTTACAAATTTTCATTAAGATCTGAGTGAGGTGGGTTACGAGTTCTGGATGATTTATCATGGAATGACCCAATTACATTTAGTGTGGTTTGTTCCCCCCTGGTTCGATAATTCCTCAAAATCGAAACTCTACAAAAACGTAGTTCTCTAAAACATTTAAAACTCCGTAAAAATGAACCCCCTTAAATACTTTGAATACTCAATTCGCGCCATGCAACCCCCTTACGGTGAAACATGTAACCATGCGTAATGCAGTGCTATCGAAGAGTCAGAGGTTTTGTTTGTAATGTATATAGTAATGAACAAAGATTATAATTTTTTAATTTAGTAAAAAGAAAATTAATTGTTAATATCCAAATATTTACAAAAAGTTAATAACTTGTGTTCTAGTCATATTTAATGGACTTACATTATAAGGCATTGTTGGATGAGTTAATTTGCAGAATAATTCAAGTACTAAGCGACGAGTGTTGTTGAGTACCTTCGGAGGATAAGAACGAAATTCTAGCGTATTCATGAATTCATCGAATATAGGTCGTCGTACAGTATCCATTGCAGTTTTTATGCATAGAGGATCCAAGACATTCCCGTGGTATAATGGTTCGTAGGTACCACGATGAAGCATCCTCAAGTTAAGGCGCCTTGCGCGACGATCCCGAATTCTTCTCCTTTCAATTTTAATAATCCCCGCATGCTGGGAAGTAATTTTTCCAGAACTCTTTTTTTTAGTTACTTTTCCTTTCGGTTTATTTATTTTTTCTGTGTGTTTTGTTGGTTGTCGAACGATTTCTTTTACTGGTGGCTGAATGGTTACAGCAGATGGCTGTATAACTGTCTTAGTTGGCTCCTTACGGATTGGTGGTTGTATCGTCTCTACGAATATAATAGATTCATCCATTTCGTCACTGATACTTTCATCATTACTAGATAATTCTTTATCTGTTTCATCATAACCCAAAGAGGGGTAAGTCTCATAAGCTGGAAACTTTAAAGATATTTGATAGTTTATAGATTTTTTACCGAAACCTAAGCGATTTTTTAGTTCGCGATCGTTGACAAAAACATCATCAGCTTCCTCAGGTGATGATAATGTTTCATTATCCAATCTCTCAAATAAATTTCTATTGTATTTTTCCACATTCGGTTTTGTTCTAATAATTACATTATTCAAAACAATAATCTGTTGATGAGGGACTTTTTCATGATTTCTGTAGATAATAATCACTTGTTGGTTAATTAATTCTTGAATCACTACCATATCAGGTTTCATGACGCTCTCTTCTTTCTTTGAATTCTTTTTCTTAACGAATTTTCTCTCTTTCAACTTTCTGATTTTTTTAGTGCGTTCTCGTAGCAATCTTTGCCTCAAATCAATGAATCTTCTGACCATTTTCTCAATAATACCCCTAATCACTTCAAATAATAAACTATCTGAGTCTACCAAAGACAGAGCCCTCTCATTTACAAAATATTTTTCATCAAAGCGAAATGAGGTTTTCTTTAACTCATAATCTCCTTTTGGTTGAATCGAAAGATATGAAGCGATTGTTAGATCCGAACCTTCTATAATCCTTGAACTGACAGGGAATAATATATCGACTCCTTTAATATTAATTATAGTTCTCTCGTGACATGCCTGGATATATTTTCGTTTACATTCAGCTGTAACAAATTTACGGTAGCGACGTTTGAATATGCCACGTTTTTTTCTTTTCTTCTTTAAATTTTCCCTTGGAATTTTCTTTTCTCTTTTTCTTATTGAACATTGGTGGCTTAAAAATTTTACCAAATTTTGACGATCATGATCTTTAAATTTCGATAATTTAATATAAGTCCTTATTATGTTAATAAAATCAGTTTTAATAATATCCTTTAATTTCCTCGCTGAAATGCCACTTTTATACCATGCTGGACGCCTCATTGTACCGGGCGAATCATGAATTACTAACCTGGGAGAAATTGTTTTCGTACTAGGATTTTCCTTGAGGATTGAAACAGGGTCTGATTTCGTTAATCCTCTGATATCTTTATGACCTCTCACCTTCCCTTTCTTACCATCCAAACATGTCTCCGATGAATTAGACGAAGGTTTTGCTTCACGATGCCTATGTGTTGTATTGGTAGGTTTTGAAGAATCGAATACTGTACCAGGCAGTAGATCGTCATCTCCTTCACTGTCGAGAAAACTGAGACTGTCATCATCATATTCGTCGAATCTACTTGGGCCTGGTTGTATTTCCAATACAACATCGGAGAAACGTACAATATGTCGAGTTTTATTTGTCTTTGTCTTCTTTTCTTTTTTATTAGGGTAAGGAGGAGGGTCGTCCTGTACAATGCTTATCACTAAATAGTTATTTTCAATTATAAATTGTTTTTCTGTTTGATTTTTTGACATATTAGAGTTTAATAGTTGTTTAAACAGTGAAGTACTTACATTAGGAATTTTATAAAAACCCTCACTTTCATATTGATTAATTTTTTCACAATTAGGCAATATGGTCAAATTTTCTAAAAGTGGTAATGTCTCCGGAGAGGCAATTTCATAAACTATGAGCTCATCTATTTTTTCACTAACAGGAGGAGCTCGAATTTTGATTACTTTTATTTTTCTTTTATATGATTTTTTCAGTAAATCAGGAAATTGATATGGTTTTAGATTCATTTGGGATGCCTTATGAAGATCTTTGTCTTGATAAATGATAAGTTTCTTTCTTTGGATACTTCTTCTACATCTTCTTCTTCTGGCTTTCTTGCGTTTTCGCTCTAGTTTTTTCATTATTCTTTTACGTATAGCTTTTTCCAGCCTTTGCATTATCTTTTTAAATGCATTTCTTCTGTTTTTCTTCCTACGGCTTTTAGATCCCTTTTTTATTTTTTGCATGAGCTTTTTTTTCAGGGCACTCATCTGTTTTTTCAAGATATTATGTTGGATTCCCTTTTTATTAGTTTTTGCTTTACGTTTCTTTTTAGATGCAGATTTATTTTTTTCCAAATTTTTATGGCGATGTTTAGACTTTACATTGATATTTTGGGAACCTTTCAGCTTTTTTCTCTGCTGCCTTATTCTGCCTTTTATTTTCTTAAACTTAGCAGGGTTTCTATAATTGACTATACCCCATAAGATGTTGGTAATGATATACGTTAATGCACTCGTCCCATTAATGCTATCAGACAGATTGTCTAATAACTTAAGTGATCTTTTGCTCAGCAGTGGGTGAATATCGCACTAAAAAAAAAAAATAATAATAATAACGATAAATAGTTCAATAGAATAATTACAATTGTAGAATAAGCTTACTAAGCTAGGATTAGGGAATAACAGACTATAATGCTTACAGAATCGGAAAAATTGAAATAAATGTTAATCATAATGTAAAATATTAATTTGTATTATAAATGAATAATTTATACAGATATATTCATATTGTATTTAAAGACACATTTGAGGGATAAACCTAAATCAATGAATACTTCCCTAAATAATACACTTTCCCTGTGGAGTTTTTTTTTATTAAATATGCCACGTTTCTAAAGCGGGTAAGAGGTTCAAGATACAAAATTTATTTTTATTTACTTTTTTAACATTTATCTTTTTATATCGGTTAAAGAAGAGAACCGATCTACCTAAAGATATATTAATTATGTATTTAAAGTTAGTTACCTCAGAACCCCCTACAATCGGTTATATTTTACAACGGTATCATGTTTTTAATAAACTATTTGTGAATATATATCTAAACAGTGGCATGCAATGAAAATTGTTAAGAATCAAGATTTAATCAAAATAAGATCTATTTATAATTTTAAACGCCTAAAATACATAGTGAAATGTTGCTTGGATATATATAAACAACACCTAGGCTGGAAAATGCAATTTGTATGTTATTAATAACTATTATTTTACTGATTGTCAAACACGAGGTTAATATCTAAATGAATGTTATGACTTAGCTATTGGTGTAATTATCAGCTAGAAAATTAGCATGCTACGCTTATGTCCTCTTCGTGTCCCTGGTGTTCTTTCTTGGTGTTATCTTCCCTCCAGCATCATCTCTGGACTCTCTTCTATGTTATCACCAACAGCTTGCTTCTTTTTTCTTTTTTTTTTTCTTGTTCCCTATCTCGCATTTTAGGCAGTACGGGAATCACCCGTGCCAGACGGTGAGAGCGGGGAATTTAAAATCCCCTCTGGCACCGGGACGGGAACTCGTACTTTTTTTAATCTCATATCTTTGGTTATCTGGTTGCTGGGCAACTCGCGGCATTGTGCACACGCGTTGCCCATTCGGCTACGCGGCCCCCTTAACAGCCTGCTTCTATTCATGGGACTTTTTTTAAACCTCCTCTTACAGGGTTGGCCAGACCCCTCTACCGTGCGGTGGATGGGGTACGCCAGCTGACAATTGCTTCGAACAATTCTTTCTTCCTGATAAAATTATCTTCACCATAATAAACCAGCATCATCCCCTTAATATTGTAACCAAGATTAAGAAAGCACTGGTAACAAAACAAACTCTACTCTCTTTTGTTTCCGAGGTAGATGACTAATTGATATTTTAGCATGTGCATGAACTCTTTTATTGTATCTTGACTATCTTTTCTAGATGTTTGGATGTGGCATGCCATAATATTGTATATAGAATAAGTATCTTTTTTTTGTTATTTGTATTATCTTTATTATCTTAAATATCTTCCTTTTTATCTGTAATTGTATATAGTAATTATGTTTGAATTCCCTCTTTTTCCTTGTATTTTATTTCTTTTTATTGTACATAGTATTAATTCTGTAAATATTTCTTTTTGTAAATAGATCTGTTAACCTTTTTTGCTGCTTTATAAAAAAATATCCAACCTAACCTTCTCGCCTGAGCTAGCATGGTAGAATAAATGATTTATTATGGCCAAATCATGGGTAAGTAACTTATATTTTCTATAATGATCTCTTTAGAGATGAAAGACTAGTAAAGCCAGGCGCCGAACAAATAAAAATCCCTATGGAAAATTATATTTATTAAAAATTGTTTTCTTATATGTTTACTTTATCCTTTTTTTTTTTTTTTTTTGTCATAATATCATCTAAACGGGTTCATCATTTGACTCCCTATTAGCAGCATCTTGAAATATTCTGTTCATCTGTCTACTATATATTCGTTTAGCCATATAATTGATACTGATCCTTGTTTTCTTTTCCGAGATTTTGGCACTTCTTTTCTCGTTCGCTTAATGTATTTTTCGAATTTTCGGGTTCAATTCCGCGTTTTCCCTCATTTTGATACCAAATATTAACAATCAGTTCCGGTTACCTAGAAGAACTTGTAGCTTCGCCCTTTCCATCTTTCTTTGTTCAAAGAGAATAATGCATTCAATATTAAAATTATAAAGTAAAACTTCTGAACAAAGACCACCTCCCCCTTTACAAAAAAAATATTCATTATTTGATAAAAGAGATATCCTTATTAACAAATAGGTTTATGAAGACATGTAACCTCTTACTGAAATTTAAATAAAAAATTAATATTTGAAAAATAATTCTGTAAATAAAGTAGAATTTCAACTGATATATCATCAGATAAAATGAAGAGAATATTCGTGTATTACAGAAAGTGTTTATAAAGTTAAGTATATGTAGTTAGAGTATTTATGTCTGATACTTGTATTTTATGTAATTTAATATAGTTCTTTTTTTTTTTTTTATATAATGTTACTATTTGTACTATGGAGATACATATCATGCAGAAAGTTTATTCCGTAGACAGGTATTCTAAACAAATAAAAACAACTGATGCGATGCATCACACAGCTTCTCCTTACCACCCTACTTTCAAGGAGATATTAGTTTTTCTAAAATGTTAGTAAACCTTAAGAATATTACTCTAATTATAAATATTTTTAAGACAGTTAATATAATTTTAATAAGTCTGTGGATTATATATTTTTTTAGGTTTATCAAGCCAGAAAAAAAAATTAGTTCTCCATATATTTTCAATGAAAAATTCATTTAGTTTCTATGAAAATATTTATTTTCCATCCAATAAATTGAGATACGCATTTTTTTTTTATTTATTTATTTTTTTTATATATTACAACATGTCATATAGATAAGTTACAAGTTTATGGTTGTAGTAACCTTACACTTGACATAACAGTGGTTTGAATACTGCTTCGAAAATTGAAATTAATTTTTTACAGTAGAAAAAATCTCATAAAAACCTACATAAGATATCAATGAAAAAAAAAAAATTATGTTACAATCATTAAAAGTGCGAGAAAACTAAATATAATTTATGTGCAAAAGGAAAATACACATACACATACATATACATATATATATATATATATATATATATATATCTACATACACACATACATGTATACATCCACACACACACACACACATACACATACTTACTCACACAACACACACACACATGGGTGATTGAGTTTATTGTTACTTGTTTGGTGATTGATAAGAAATCGTTAAATTTTCACAAATAAACTAATTGATTTAGACGTTTAGTAGTATGTGTTTAGTCCGTCTGTGTGTATACCGTTTCAAAGATGTTTTGTCATAGTGTCCTATTGTTCGAATAATAGGGTTTTCAGACGTTGGTGTTAGCTCAAAAAATCTTTGTGTTTTAAAATAAATATATTTTTTTATTGTGGGAAGCTGTAATTCTGCTAGCATAATAGATACTTTGGTATAACGTGGATAATTTTTTATGATTCTCATACACATATTTTGAATTACTTTGAGTTTTTTGTAATTAGTCTCGCATGTGTAACTCCATACTGGGGCAGAATAAGTGATTAAAGGGCGGATTACTGTTTTATATAAAATTAGTTTATTTTTTGTATTCAGTTGTGAATATCTATTAAAATATGGTGACATTTTGCTGATCATGTTTTTTTCTTTATTGCACTTGTTGTTAATATGTTGAGTAAAATTTAGGGATCTATCAAGTTCTAGGCCTAAATATTTCACGGAACTGGACCAAGGAATCTGTACTTCTTTTATGTGTATATTGTGGTTTATGCGTGGTATTCTTTTTGTAAAAATAATTGCTTCAGTCTTATTATCATTTATTTTTATTTTCCATTTTTCAAAATACTTGCAGAGTTTTATGAATTGGGACTGTAACCTGTTAGTTATAGTATCGATTCTGAAAGAAGAGGTGTAAATAGCTGTATCATCTGCATATAAGGAGTATTCTATTGAAGGAATGGAAGGGAGGTCTGAGATGTATAGGTTGAATAGTGTAGGAGAAAGACAGGAGCCTTGAGGGAGACCTGCAGATAGGAAATGGATTGAGGAATGGTCATTCTTTATTGTAATGCAAAAGGATCTATTGTTGAGATATGAGTGAAGGAGGTGGATTATGTAAGGTGGGAATTTATATAAAATGAGTTTATGGATAATACCCTCATGCCATACCGTGTCAAAAGCTTTTTCTATGTCTAGGAGGAGCATACCGACGTGCTTCTTTTCATTGAACGCTTTGGTAATATAGTCGGTCAGTCTGGCTAGTTGGGCTACTGTTGAGTGCTGTTTTCTTACCCGAATTGCTAGTTAGATATCAGACTGTTTTGAGATATATGGCTCAGGATTCTTTTTAAAAGTAGTTTTTCAAAAAGTTTTGAAATTATGTTAAGTAGACTTATTGGTCTGTAACTACGAACATCTGCTGGGTCTTTGTTTGGCTTCGGAATCGTTATGATTTTTGCTGTTTTCCAAGCCGTTGGAAAATATCTAAAGCGAAGCATACAGTTATACGTTTTTGTTAGGAATAAAATAGCCTTTTTGTTTAATTTCTTACTGGCAATTGGAGGTATAGAGTCTGGACCGGGCGATTTTTTAGTTTTTAACTGCTTTATAACTTGTTTCACCTCTTTGAATGAGATTGAAGGGAATGTATTTGGAACTGGTTCTTTGAGAAAGCATTTTACGGATTTAATGATAGTTCGATTGTGGTTGTTGGTGCCTAGATCAGCCGAAATATTAGATGCTAACGTGAAATAGTTTGCCATAGCTTCTGCCTTCTCTATATTAGAATAGGCGAAATTGTTTGATAGTTTGATTGGAGGGATATGGTGGGGACGATTTGTTAGAATTTTGTGTATTTTCCAAAAATTTTTACTACCAGGGGACAGTTCTCTAAGAGTTTCCTGCCACTTTAACTTCCTCCAACTGTTTAAACGAGTTTTTACGTAGGCATTTAATTTGTTAAA